GACAGGTAACAAAATGTCATTCTTCATAAAATCGATTTTTCAAGACAAGATTTTAATTTACCTCGAGTGCTATCATATGAGATTCGACTTACGTATTCTCAATTTCTCAAGTAGGTACTTTACCGCAGATAACAGAAAACATAACACATAACTGAAGAATGATATAATCTGAGGATTATATTTGAATATTCGCAGTATTTTTCAGATTTAGCTAGATGATGAGATTTGAAGATGAAGGTGACAGACAAAGTTGACGTCAGAAAGTTAGGTTCTACTTCTTTTTTTTCTTGATCTTTCTGTGAACTCTAACCACAACGCTGTTGCAAGGGTCACAAAATAGTTTGATTTCAAGTAAAATCTCGATCATCATTTGGAATATTTGGACATTCTAATCAGCATTGAAGCATCTCGCAAGATATATTGATTATAAGGGACCACAGGTGAAACCATTCGCTTCTGTGAATGTCAATATACTGTTGTCATTGGTCATATTGCATGAATCTCATCATTGAGGTGATAACTAGTTACAAATTTAGCAGCGTCGAAATATGTGGTTATGCTGACCTGGCATACGTTGTTTTGCTATATGAACTGATCGAAAAAAATGTAGCTATCAGTAGCTATACCTACCACATTCTTTTCAACATCTCCATGTCAAGAAATTCAATATCCTATAACTCTTTTATTCAGTTCACATCGAATCTAGAAGATACTTATATAGTTAAATATTTAGCAACACACTTTCATTACTTTATTTTCTACATATATTCAGTTTGGCTATATCTATAAAAGCGTGTTCCTTTAGTTTTGCAAACTACAAACTACTAGGTATTTCTTCAGTATTTTTAACTATTATTCACTGGCAACTTTTTTTTGATTTGACTATCTATCGAAGCGTGTTTCATTACTTTCACGAACCACTATTCACCACGAAGCTCGTTCGCCATATTGGATCTGACATCTTATATTTCCCAATTCGACAAGAGGATCATAATCATCGACCCCAAAAATCCTATAAATATCAATTTTGAATAGAAACTTGTCTGCCATATTGTATCCGCCATTTTAAATTCCCTGATTTTGACGAACGAATCATAATATTCGACCCCAAAACTCCCAAATTCCAATTCTGTATTGAATCGGATCATAATTAAAAAACTCGTTCCGCCATCTGAAATATTTCGATTTCGACGAAATAATCATAACATTCGACCCCGAAAACCCCCCGATATCAATTTTGAATAGAATCGGATCATCATCGCAAAACCCGTTCACATATTATTGGATTCGCCATCTTGAATCTCCCTATATTATGGATGGAATCATAATCTCTAACCCAGAAAAAAAAAACAGGAAGCGATTTCATATAGAATCAGTCCGTAATCACAAAACTCGTTTGCTTTATTGGGTCCGTCATGTTGAATTTCCTAATTTTGACGTAAGAAGTATATTCTCCTATCCCGGAAATCCCAAGATACAAAATTTGGGTAGAATCGGATCATCATTACGGAGTCGTTCGCCATATTGGATCCGCCATCTAGTATCTTCAATTTTTCATGGGAAAATCATGATCACCGACCCCGCAAATCCCCAGATACCAATTTTGAATAAAATCGAATCATAACTACAAAGTCATTCGCGATATTGTATTCGCCATCTTGAATTTCCGATTTTTGGCGAAACAATCATGATCTCCGACCCCAAAAATCCCCAGATACCAATTCTGAATAGAATCGGATCATGATTACAGAACTCGTCCGCCATATTGGATCCGCCATCTTGTATTATCAAATTTTGACAAAGCAATCATAATCTCCTACACCAAAAACTCCCAGATACCAATTTTTAATAAAATCCGTTCATAATCACGGAACTCGCACGTCACCAGAAAACCCCAGGTACTAATTTTTAATAGAATCGGACCATAATTACAAAACTCATTCGCCATATTGGATCCGCCATCTTGTATCAGACCTACCAAATATGCACGAAAATGTTCATTAGAATCGATCACGATGTTTCGGAGGGGTTTGGCATCAAACACCGTGACAGGAGAATTTTATATATTATTATAATTAGGTGGATGCGAGAAGGTGTATGACGTCATCGAGAACTGGCGTCCCATTTCGGAAACAAACTCTACCGATCCATTGGGATCTGACGAAATGGGATAGAAACTTTGGATACAGAGAATGCAACCAAGTATCAGAAACAGCCCAATATTAGTCATTATCAGTGCTTGTGCAACCAGTGGAAAAGTGTATATGTTTGTTGCATAAAGAATGGAGTTTGCAACTCGAAACGATGCCGAGAGTTGCACTCTCAAAAATCAACAGTTTTCAACTGATTGATTATTTTGATTCAGCAAAAAGAGTATCAAAGCTCTACATGTATACACATTTGGAAGAAATAATTCCAATATCCAGGACAATCTATATCTATGTCTTATTTTTCATGTAATAGATCGCGAAATATCTCGATAGATCTGTTTCAACAAGAAAATTTGACTCCACCACTGGGTTCTCAAATAAGGTTGATCGCCAAATTTCATAACAAATTTTCATTGACAACGAAGTTATAACAACAGTAATTTCTGTTGAATATCATTATTATTATTAGTTTAGACGTTTATATAAGCTTGGTATGTACATTTGTATGTTTGTAACGCTTGAATCTACGAACGAGATTTTGACCCACTTCAAAATGTCGAATTGGAATGAAATATCGCACACTCATGAAGATCCGATGAAAATAGCATGATTTGACAGTTTTATTCCATTATCCTGATCAGGAAGCTGTGAATGAGCGATTTTTTTCTCGATTGAAATGGTGAATGATGTTCCTTCACCAAAATTTCAAAATATTCCTCCACCAAATATGTTCGCTTATTCGATAATTTTCTGAAAATAAATGATGTGGCATATGTAAGCGAATAAAAGAGCTCTAGTTATAGCTGGTTTCGATAAGTCTTCCGTTTTTAACTCCCAATGTAAAAACTTTTACACATATTTCGTTTACCAATAACATTGATGAAGATATCGTAGGAAGAAACCATAATGAAATGTAAAGAAGAACAATTCCAATCAGTTTCATCAACATTCCGAATACGATCAAGCCTAGGACATGCCACAGGACGAAATGTCAAAAAAGTTCAGCTTTGTGAACGAATTCAACAAAAAACTGAGTTGTAAGACTGATTGGGAGCAAAATAACACCTGTTACTAGGAAGTCAGAAGAACCTGGGATTGGGGAATCTGGGCCTGGAACCTAATACTCATCTTGGGCAAATCCCCAAGTATGTTTCAGACGGAAGTGTTGAGCTCAAAGAAGAACCACCGTAGACAAGAGATCATCATCATGTTTTATATTCAGGAAGCTATCAAAGCGCTGAGCTCAGATGATGTAATCAGCTCTAAGATAGTCTGGGACTGCCTAGGAAAACTAAATGATCTAGATAAAGCAAATCAGGTCCGGGGCATACCGGACTGGAGGAGAATGAAATAGCAGATAGACTCGCGAAGAAACACCATTCATGGGACCTGAACCCTTCTGTGGGATCAGTGAAACAACAAAAGTTTGGAAATTGAATGAAGAAATGTATCTTCAGAGAGCCAGATACTGGCAGGACATACAAGGTATGAGGTATGACAAAAGCGAAGACACTCCTGGGAAAATATTTACCGAATGCATCAACCTAAGTTGGAGAAGATTTGGATACTTACTGTAGTTGTAGTCCTGTATCAGGACACTGTCGATTGGGAGAGCATCTGAAGAAACTCCGGGCAGTAGAGGAAGCAAAGTGCAGATTCTGTGAGGAAGAGGACGGAACCTACATCCACTTCCTCTTGAACTTTGCGTAGCTCTTCGCAAGACAATTCTTGCATTCTCAACTCCTAATTTGGACCTCAACGCGCAATTTTTGTATTGATAGTGAATTAAGTATCGTAAGGAGGGATCTAAATGGAATTCAAAAAAGAGGAAGAATTCCTATCAGTTCTGATTCTTCCCCGTACGTCTCAGTTGCACGATTTGGTGGACCATTCTTGTGATTTCGACTCCCAAACGCAACTTCCCACTACGAAGAAAATCATTTTGATAAAGATAGAATTAAAGGAAAAGGAAAAATACCATAGCTGATTTGCGAGTACTGACAGAACTGTGTTCACTTCTGAATGAACCAATGTCTGTGAAGTTTTCTTTTTCTCTGATTTTCTTCCATTTCAATGTATTTTGTTTGTACATAACTGAGGTAATGAATATATTGGACTTGAGCATTTCTAGGGTAAGTGCTCCGGCACATGCTACTATCGACTATACGAGGGGCTCTCAAGAAGGTTATATTAATATACCTAGAGCATAAACTATAAAGCAATGCAAAAACCTGAACTGAAAAAAATCGCACTTAGGCCCTTTCTAATTCCCACTCTTCAATTCGTGGTTATTAATTCAAATCTGTTCCAGATGATATCCAACATTTGTGTTGACAATGGAATTTTACGAAATTCCCAATTAAAACACATACATGAAATTTTGCGATTAACCTAATTGAAGGATGTTTGATCCAGTGGTAGGGTCGACCTATCTCGAAAAAAATTCGCTGTAATTTCGCAATTTCCAACAAAGTAGGTATCTGTGCATTGAAAATTGAAATGATATTTTGCAAACTCATCTGATCGTATAGATGTTGTGATAATGTTTTCGATGAAACGAAAAAAATTATGATCGGTCGAAAACTAGATTTTTTAAATGATGTTCCATCAGACCCACGTTGGTCACACTGTATATATTGGAGCAAAATATCCTTCGTTTATCTAACAAATTACATTACTCTTGAGGCGAATCAATAATGAGTTACGCTCAGTATATTTTTATAGTTGAAAAATAACGAAAACATTACGTTGCGGTAATGAAATATCTTTCGTCGTGGATATTTGATAGATACTTTCATTTTCTTGATTCCATGAAAGAGTTTTCGATATTAACTAGTAAATAGTACTCACCGTTAGGACTGTGTCGGTCCTTCGGAATTTGTGATGGTATCCGACCCCAGTACCATGGAAGCGTTCTCGGATCCGTTGGTGTACCGCATAGTGCTGCGTATCTACTGCTCGCCGCTGCTAATGCACCAAAATGTGACATTATTCCTAATCTGCAAGAATAAGAAACTTGATTCAGTCGATAAGTCATTCAATTGAATAGAGTTCAAAACTATACAGGGTGTAATTTAATTTATGGCTGAAAATACCGGAAATGGGTCCTTAGCTCATTTTAAGAAGAAGAGTTCATGTGAACATGTTCCCTAAACCTCTTAACATTCGAACTATAGGGTGTTAACATGTTATTTTCTCTTTAATGATTGAAGTAACTTTCACAATGTGAAGAACTGTCACGTTTATGAATACTTGTCGAAAAAAGACCGTAACGTAATCGATCAAATGTCATAATTTCACATACACAATAGGGCATTAGCCTACTAGTTCAAAATGATTTCGATATGCCACAAATGCATAAAAATTGTTTTTATTTTGTTACGCGAAAACAGTTCGTCGGACAGAAATAAATCAGGTAGTCAAATTGTTGCAAAAAATGAGGATTTCAAAAATAATTTTCATTCTCGGAAAAATCAATGGCGTACAATATTTCTTTCCGAAAATCTCCGGGATAAATCCCGTACGTACGCCACTAGTAGAGATATTAAAAGATCTTCTGCATCGAGAAGAACCTATTGGTGCTTAGCAGTTGCATGTCAAATTTCATGGTTTATCCTAACTCATCCTCTGAAAATGAGCTTAGGAACCATATATCCTTCATTTTCAGCCATCAACTTAATTACACCCAGTATAAAATATGAAATGTTTCATTTATGTTTTCAAGAACGAGTATGTTTCCACGTGGACACAAATTATTGTTGTAGGGTGATATTTTTTGTATTCAAAATACGACTTCATCTCAAATATATCAGTGAAACAATAAAGGTATACAAAATAATATACTTCAATTATCAAGTAAACATCAAATAAAATGTGATGGAGAAGTGAGGAATATAGAAAAGATAAATATAGACGATACAAGTATCGTTAAGATTCATATTACGATATGAGGTGGAAAATTCGAGTTTGATAACCCGTCCATTATCGTAATATAAATTTACTATATGATGATCGTACAATATTTTACCAACTACCAAACACGTTGCAAGGGTTGGGCGTATACCTGCGAATCTATTGTGTTCCCTTCCGGTTGTCACTCATTCTGCAGTCAACTTTGACGCGTTCATTTCGATTTGAAAAATTCATCAACATGAACTCAGATCACAAAAGTATAGATTGAAATATAGAAATTGCGGCAAATGAGGCAATTTAAACTTCAGTACCCGCTATATTTCTGATCAACAAATTCTTATTCCTTTTTTTTAAACAACTGAGATTTGAAAATATTTTTTTACTTCAAAACTAACTGTAAACGAACACTTCACTGCACTAATGTGATTTCTTAACTCCCTTATCTGTTGAATATACCTTCCGGAATTGGAAATCCGTATTTCCCTGATGGCGCAATCAGGATCAGAAGACAACGAAATTATCTAATACATCCCAGTAGTCTATCTGATAGCCACTTGTTTTATTTGCACTTGAACAATTTTTTTTACTTTAAAACGGCCACCACATGATGTTGAACATTCAGAACCGTCTCAATTTTCTCAATCTTTTGAGACAAAATCCAATTATTCGGGCATATGAAATTAATCTTCGATCTTATTTTCTATATCGCGCATATTTGATATGGTCAAAACACCTGAATTCAGGGCTACAAGAATGAAATGAGATTGTCGTTGAGAAACTTCGCCAATTTTTGAAATTTCTCAGAATCCGTCTCTAGTAGGTATGCCATGTTATTCCTATACGGCGTTTTAGAAGTTTTATGGTTGAAAACATCGTTGTTGATATATTTCAACGTTGTCATTTTTTAGGCACAACAACGATGTTCTTTCGAATATATATTTCATCATTGATCCATATTGTTTCACATTGAGTATGATGTAATTCATCGGGATTATACATGTGATTTCAGCTGGTTTACATGATTCATGTGAATCAAAGTGATTATCATTGATACGGAGTATAGTTACAGCGAATATACTCCGATTCACATTATATTCATGTTCATAGAGTGAACTGCATTCGTCGTAGGTATGTCTTAGCAACATCAGTGCTTCTGGTGAATTGATAAGAAACTTTGGTATTCATTTATAGTGTATTTGATGTCAAATCACCATCGAAATAAACAAATGATTATTCATAAGTGAGAAGATATTCCCTTGCTCGATTTGTCATTGTCGGTTTGATAATAGATAATAAAAGAAGTTGGGATTTATTCTACCAGTATTTTCATAGAGAAATAAATCAAACTTTCGATCTCATCGACTTAACTGTGAGATGTTTTTCAGTTTGTAGACGTCGTTGGAATCCTATGTGAATAGATATAACAACAAATCCATTCCGGAAAATATTCAACGTAGATGTCCAAATAGTGTGGAATCTCCGATAAGCACCAGCACCTGATCGTGCATGGATCCGAATAAGAAACCAAATTTCTAAAGAAAAAGTCTTATTATGATCCCAACAATATGTTCTTGACATATTTACATCGAATTTTGAATCAGCTGTGAAAAATAAATAATATATTATCTTTCGAGATATTGTCCGGAAATCTTACTAGTAATTTTCGGATAATAACCGGATACCAGGATTGTCCGGAAATCTTACTAGTAATTTTCGGATAATAACCGGATACCAGTACCTATAGTAACGGCAGTCTCCGAGGCGTTAGTGCCTATATTCTTCAGAGAATCATACAATTACCTGTTCTACATCATATTTACTTTGTTATTCCTCATTATATCATCGATAATTCACCAAAATTATTTTCTTTTAGTTCTAATCAATTGATTTTACAATCCTTGACACTACATTATATCAATAATGAATATAGAGTTCCAGAACTTCCAGGTCAAGAAATATCTGGATAATCCCACATGAATTAATGCATATATACATTTACATACAGACTAACAGAATTTTCGATAAAGAATATTTTGCATTTTTATGTTGAAAACGGGAGCAGATTCGTTCCCGAAACGTCCAAAGCTAAGTAAAAACTCGATATTTTGTCAATATAGCTAGCTATATTTCTTCTCTTCAAACATTTTCACAAACAGAGTGTAACTAACAAGCTATTGGTTTGTTTTTAGGCTCCCTGATCGAAAAAATTGTTAAACGCAGTGACATTTTGAGGCAAATCATCTGATTTGTCCTACTACACATATATTGAAATGATACTCATATTTTTATCATGGAGAAACGAGGAGACAAAATCCCAAATGTATTTGAGAATTCATGTTGAACATATTAAAATGTAGAATACTAATGAAAAATAGAGTATGCAATGGTAAAATATATAAATGAATAAAATGATGAGAATACAATACTCCAATATGTATAAGTACAAGTTTATATTATATTAAATAACAAAAATTGCATGAAATTGGTATACATATATCTAGAACATCTAGCAAGAATAGTATAATAATTCAGATAAGTAAGTCCCATGTATCAAGTTGGTAAATCTCACATTTTATAGATAAAGTCATTTTCTTAATTCAAATAACGATTATTATATGTGAATGATATCCTAATATCTCTCCGCCACTGTCCTCGTCATATCTGAACTCCCTGGCGGCAATCTGCTAACTTAGTCTATCTGCCATTAAATTTGCATCGAGTTAAGTGTTCTTGCTGGAAAGAGAGCTCCTTGAGCGGAAGAAAACTCCAAGACTTCCGCAGTATTCCCTAAGAAGCTTAGTCAGCCTCGCTTAAGTGGCTCGATATTGCTACATGATCAGCAAACAACTTTCGAGCGGAAAGTAGTAGCGAAGAAAAATTTCGTCGAGATGAAATTTGCCTTCGAGTTTCGTCTGGAAATATCTCTTGAACCATGAAAGATATACAGGGAGTCTCGAATTATCTTCCCCATGCAATATCTTGCCTCAGACTATAGGTACACTGTTTTACCAATATCCAAACTGATGGCTGTCATGGTTGGCTCTACACACTGAGAAAATAAATGAAAATTTGTATCACTAAATGTAATAGTGGTTTCGAATTAGTTTCATCAAACACAACACATATTCGTGATATAACTTATTTGACTGACCAATACTTAGACAAACCTATATATTGCATACCACCTCCGAATAATAATAATTCAAATTATCATTCAACACTACATCAGATAACATGTTCCATATCCAGTAATTAATAAATATCTCTTATGCAGTGGTATTAGGTTTGTGTTGAATGTTACTCCCCTGATATTTCTATTTACCACGCGTACGGTAATAATGATAGGTTTACTTTTTGTGATGTACAAATCAACCACATCAGAGAGTAATATGCCGAAATCACGAAGACGATCGTCGACGTTCGTTTTTTTCAATGCAGTTGGCTTGGCGTTGGCGTGGGCGTTTCATCAGTTCAAAGTTCATCATTCATAGTTCATCTTTTGTTGCGTACTTACGTTGGTAACTCGAAGAGTTGTTACCGGTGTTCGACAGTAAGTGAAAAACCTATTCGTTTCATTTCGAAACTGAAGTGGCATCAGGTGAACGTTGTACGCGTTAATGAGGAGAACGAGAAAATCAATTTTGTTGCACACAAAAATCAAATTTACACAATAATTCGATTTTTCTCTCATTCCCAACTTCATTCATATATACTCAGATAACTATCTCTACTACCTACCTAATTATCATAACATACCTGCAAATTATTGAGATTTTGTGATATTTTCCAGTTTTTTCTCCAAATAAGTATGTCCCTGACGGCGGTAGAAAAATATTGATTCAGAGTTTGAACAGACAAAATTGAACAGACAAAAATGAACGAATCTATAAGTAGAAATCACTAGTTTGTATAGTGGTGAATATGAATTAAATAAATAGAGAATAAATTTATTGTTTGTATAGTGGTAAATACAAACCGACGAGCTGTATAGTATTATTCACTCATTTGCAGTAATGAATGATAGGCGAAACGTTCCCAATAATAATGATATGAAAACACATCTTTTCTACTAGCGTGCGGAAAAGTT